ATGCTATCCCCTTCCTTTTTAGTTGAAATTAGAAGTAGAGTATCGATACCCAAGGAGGAGTATTAATACTTAAGGGTTAGTACCAATACCACAGGACCAGTATCGGTACCAACGTACATTTTTTGACATTAATTTTTAAGGGATTACAAGAAGACAATGAGGTTTCCCAAGGACTCCATAATTGCTCTAAAATAAGGCTACAAGTGAGAACAAGAATAATGTCTAATTTCATTAGAAACGAGATTAATTAGGGGACATAAAACTAGTCTTGTTTGAACACTCGAGAAACGGTCATGACACCCGAGTTACTTTAGCAAGTGATACTAGTATCGAGAAAGTAGTTTCAGTCCGAATATCCTTAGGTAGTGTGCTAGGCACTTAAAACAAACTTACTAGGGCGCAATGCCCACACTTGCGAGGGGTGGGTTAGTTGAGGGTGTTGTGATCGATGCAAAGATTTCAGACCACATCCTCGGTAGACTAGAGGGGTTTGTGAGTTCCGAGATGTAGAACCCTCAGCCGCACCATAATGTATGCCATAGAGTAGAGAGTGTAGTATACTAGTATACTCACTGACGCTTTAGACTTGATAACTTGAGCATTCTATTGAATACATTTAGTATGATTTAGTTGTGAGTGTGGCACTGGACTAGTTAGTTTAGCGTTTGGAATTTTTTTCCTTATGCAGGTTAGTAAAGGAGTAGTCGAGGAACCTTTTGAACAGTTGAGATCCAAACCGAGTGCAACAAAGTACGTCTTGAGTTCTTCTTTAGAGGGCATGTATATTTGTGAACCCTTGTACTTGTTGAGTAGTAACTTTATTTAAAATGTTGGTTTATATGTTTTGAATTATTATTTTTGGGACCTCCTAATGTAAATTATTTTATATAAATGTGATCGATTTATTTTACCATGATTACTATCAAGAAAACCATTTCAATTGAGAAATTAAGGAAATTTTTTTGTTAGCCACTCTGGTGGTTCCGTGTAGCATTCTAATCGGTCGACTGTGTATCATACTGGTTTAGAGTATTATAGTAAATCTTTTGGAATTGTATTTTAGAAGTTATAAGTCATTCGAGATAATCAATGTAAATATTCTCTTCTCTAAACTCTTTGAAAATAACATATGTGTTTGATTTGTTGTGTGTATATATAATTCTAAGTAGGAAATTATGTCATATTTGTTGGCTTATAAATGTTTTAAGTTTATAATATGAAGGATAAATTTTTGACTTTTTTTTTATAAATCGAGGTTTTTTAGCCGCTCTCTCTTTTGTCTTCCTTTTTTTCCCTTTGAGTTTGCATCCTTTTTTTATAGTTCATATCAATTTTTTTCTTTGATTTTGTTTAGCCGACGGCGGCACCGGTTTTGATACTGGTTGTCGACTGTCGGTTCTCTTTTCTCATTATTTTTTTTAATAATAATAATTTTGCATGTGTTGCACGTTTATCTCTGTCTTTGTGGCACGTTTATCTCTATCTTTGTGCCACGTTTTTTTTATTTTTTTTCTCGGTCGTTTGTCCGTTCTTTTATTTATGTTTCTTAGGGTTGGATTTGACGATGCCACAACTGGTCAAGATGACGCATATTTGAAATCTTGTTGATCTTCCCTGTAATAGACATTCAGATTGAATTTGGATGTGTGATTCTGTGTTTGGGGATAGTTTATCACAGCACTCGGCTATGATTTACAGGTTTCAGTGATATTTCAATAGCTTAATTATCTTTTGTGGTTCGCTTACCAATGCAATCAGATTTATTCATATCTATTTTTGTTCGAATCTTTTGGTTAGGGTTTTAACCTTTTCCATGTATGGCCTCTTTATATAATCTAAAGTGGTTAGTTTCAATTTTATACGAAAAGTCCAAATTATGTATTTAGTTTACGATGATAGTTCTAAACTCTTATTGTAATTTCAGATATTTTCCCTTTTTAATAATACTAGCGGCTTCTATTAAAAAAAAGTTTATAATATGGAGGAATAATGCAAAGTTACTCAAATTATAGGGTGAATTGCCAATGACTGTTGGCACAAGTGGTTGAGATTCATGAATATGTTGGCACAAGTGGTTGAGATTTATGAATATGAGTTTGTAAGGCCAAGTTTGAATCCTACCACCTTCATTATTGTTGGACAATCTGAAAATTCCTATGTAAATCCCAATTGAGTCTTAATTATGCTCTCGTCCTAGATTGGGGAGTCACTCCTGACCTAAATTTTTTTGTAACAAAAAAATAATAATAAGGTGAATTCTAAAAGAGTATAAATGATAAAATTGGTTACATAGTAAATTGAATTGATATCAGAGAACGTTTTAATGCCTTACGAAAATTATGTGAATTCTAGGTTAATTTGATGTCTAATTTGATGTCTCAATGCATAATTGTAATGGTATGATTCATGTTATAGGGATTGTATTATTCAAGTTAAATTTTAATGGTGTTTGAGTATAATTATAAGTTGAAATTAATCACATGCTACTTTTGCTATCAATACTGCGTAAAGAGTGTCAATAATATAAGTTAAAAATTAAACTTCGAACATTACTATATTGTATAGATATTGGAGTCAAGTATCGATATTGTATTCTTAGTATTAATACTAACTCTTAATATCGGTATTAAATCAAATCTTGATGTTCATAAATGTTCAAGAGCGTCCGACACTTATGATTGAAGTATCAATACTCTAAGTGAATAAGGATCAATACTCGTGCAATGGTATTGATACCAATTATTTAAAATGCAAAAAAAAAAAAATTGTGTAAATAGTCCCCAAATGATGTATTGCTTATGTTTGACTTTTTTAAACTTGTAATAATCGGATCAAAAGCCTGTTTGACCTAGATATTCTTTGAATCATAATTTATATTAATTTATTAATTAGTTCATAAATTTTTAGTTATTTACAATTTAGTCTTTAAACTTTTGTAAAATTATAATTTAGTCCATAAACAATATCTCAATATAAAATTTGGTTTTAAATGGAATGGCATTGATATGAAATATGATGTGAGTGTTTGAAAATTTTGATCAAGATATAATGATTATTTGAGAAGTTTTCAAGTTTGTGTTCTCCGGTGTCATTTCTGATCTATTTTTCATCTAGACATGTTTGATGATGTTATATTCATATCACCAACACTTATATAAAATGTTCTTAGTAGATTGCTCAAGACTTAAGAATTTTACATATGAACATGATTAAAAAAATCATAAGTCGTTCAAATCAACCGTATATACATCTAATCATATTTTAGATAATTAGAAGGATAATTCGTAATCTCTAGCACATCACATCGTATAATAAACTAGCATATAAAGCTCATTCATCTTGCTTTTGAGTTTTATAATCAAAATATTTATGGCCTTATGTTCTAGGAATATTTAAAATATTTAAAATATAAAAAATATTATATTTTCAACTAAAAAAATAAGAGTAGACTCAGGTTGACGAGAGAGTTGAAGACTTTTATGACGAATTAAAATTTTAATTCTGTTTGAAGCTGTTATTTTTAATAATTTATAATTTATCATTTTATAGCTTGTGGTTTTTTATTTTAAAAATTTTAATAGTTTGATAGTATTTTTAATATTTTTATTTTTTACATATTTGAAATTTAAATAATGTTTTATTTTTCTTAAAAATAAATAGGTCTCATTTTTCTTAAAAAAATTAATGAAGCCCTCGAACTTCTTGTTTTTTTATTAATTTGGGATAAGTACAAGACTTTATATTCAAAGATAACTCTCAACTCACACCCCTAGTCTTTCCGGTGCTCGAACCTGAGACCTCAAAGAATAATAACAATTACTTTAACATCGAGATTGTTGGATATATGAACTGCAAAACTACACCGTTAGCATTTATTGGAAATATAAACAGTAATTAAAAGGAACGAATTCGTAAACCGTGTCGTGATAAAAACCACTGCCTTAGAAACGAATTCGCCCCGATGTGTGTAATCGCTGCAGTAGGCGGACCGTCCCCCGAGGTTAACACGGTCGCTCCGAATTCCGTACACCCGAAATCGGAGTGGACTGCTGGTGGTATTGCTTTTCTGATTGGAAAGCACTCATAGAGAACTCACAGAGAGAATTGTAGAAAACATTTTTGTAAGTGAGTTGAGAAGCTGAATATAGCCCTCTATTTATAGGTTAGAAATAGGGTTAAAATCGTCCATAAAATTTCAGGATTAAATCTCTTCTTTTGTAACAGCTGAAACGTCTAGATGAACCTGACTCAAAAATAGTCCAGGTTCATTGCATCATTATTCAGCTGTTATAACTCCTGAAATTATATCATGTAACCCTTGGAATTAAATCAAATAACTCCTGTAACTCTTGATATTAACAGATTGTCTCCTCTGTACAAAGCTGGAAATCAGTCTAGATACATCTTAACGTTTTTGATTTAATTTAGGAAAAAGTTACCACGACCACGACCATTAGCCGAGCCGAGTCGAGCCATGCCGAGACGGACGGACGGCGGCGGCGGTGCACGAGAGTCTCCCTTGTTCTCTATCACTCAATAAGGAAGTGAGAAAGTCAAGCCTTAAATACCATTCCCAATAGTATTTCCAATACTATGTAGGATTGAACATTACCAACATACGTCGCTTGGTTCAAACTTCTAGAAGGACTATCACATTAACACTACAACGGTCAACATTGATTTTCATTTATAAAAGACTAGATTATTTTTTCTCCTTAATTTAAAGGTCATACTGAGTGAAAATAACTAAATAAAAGGTCGTACTGAGTGAAAATAACTAAATAAGTTGAATGGCCATATTGGTTCCAGGTAGAGAAAAGAATAGATGAAAACAATGGCATATGTTGCGGCCCCAACAAAGAACATGAATTCCTCGTGGAATGTTGTACCATGTAGAGACGTAAGTTTTTGTTGCCTTGAATATGTTTTATATATGAATTTCGATGATGACAACGTTTTTTAGCGGCTTCATCTCTATATCTTCTTTCCTTCTCTCCAACCATCTTCCAGCTTTAGGTTTCTCATTTCCTTCTGGGTTTTCTGTTTGGTTGCTTAGAAAGCACCGTAAGTCTGTAAGGATATTGCCTCTTTTGTTCTTGTTTCTACATACATCTAACCTCTGTCGGCTGAGCATCTCGGCTGCATGTATTTTGATTTTCTTCTAGTTTCCTACTGTTTCTCTTGAACCAAACAATACAAGTTTTGTGGATAATGATTAGTTGGTTTTTGTTTGCTTAAAAATCTGCAGATTTTAGAAGAGAAACCCAATGGGAAATGCTTCATCAATGCTAACTCAATATGATATTGAAGAAGTTCAAGAGTACTGCAATTATCTATGTAGGTTGTTTACAATATAATAGATATATTTTTGTTGACTCGACTGGTTCTTTCAATTCGGTTGTTTTGCAGTCTCAAGGGAAGAAATTGTTGGTTTGTACCAGAGGTTTTGCGAGTTAGATGGAAATGGGAAGGGATATATATCAGGTGATGAGATGTTATCAGTGCCAGAATTTGCAATTAATCCTGTCTTGAAGGTACAGTTATTGACTTTAAAATGTCTTCAATTTGAGATTATTGAGTCTGATTTGATGAGTGTGTTGGATTTACAGAGGGTGGTTGAGATGGTGGATGGATTCAACTTTAAGGACTTTGTTGCCATCTTGTCTGCTTTTAGTTGTAAAGCAACCCGATACCAGAAAGCTCAACGTGAGGCTTTGAATTAAGACGGAACTATTAAGTTGCTTAATTAAAACATAAATTAATTTCTTTCTTGTCTCAGTTATCTTCAAAGTGTACGATTCCGGTAGCAATCAATGACAGTACAACAAGAGTGGGCAGGGGGGATTTGTGCCGAGGGATAATGTTCCACTGCATCGTAATGGGTTACATGTATCATCTTGTACAGGTTGAGTCCACATCTTGCTCCAGAATAGTTGGACAAAATAAATACCACTTCGACTATTTTCCATGCAATTTAGCAAAACCTTTAATATACACAAGAATGCATAGGATTCTCTTTTCCACGGCCATGCAATTGATTTTTGTATTAACTATTTAGAAAGAAAGACGATTTGCCACAACAAAGGAGGCACATGCAGACATGCTATTTGTTTGATACACGCTAAAATCAGATTTTAACGACAGAGGAGAAGGTGTTCTAACGGCTACTAGGACCATGCTACCTACATACATAAATTTGTAATCTATTATCCATAACCGAACCTTTTTGACTGACTAACCCAAGATATTATGCAGCAACTAAATCCTTTCAAACTGCAACCACCGGGAATCATTTAGCAGCATTACATTCCACGCCCGAGCTAGTACACTTGTGACTCGTTTAAAAATCGCAACAAACAATTAGCTCTTGAAAGCAACATTACAAGGTTAGATGCTACTATACCTGACCTTTTATGATCCCACAAAGTTTAATATCAAAACATATTTTTTATAGACTACTGCAAAGATATTTCATTCACTAATTTGTTGGACCTGAGAATCTCTTTAAAAAAATGCATATTTGAACTCAAACACCAGCAAGATAGATAAATATGGTTTAAGAGGATCAAGCCAGACCATGTAATATTCCATTGATGCCAGCGGTTTGAATTTAAAAAGTCGCTTTCACCCCTCGTTCACAGCACAATGCTTTCTTTCTCCCTCAGTCCCTCTGAATCTGAATCTCTTTCATTACTTTTTGATAAATCATTAATTAACAGTCAGAAATATGGCTTTCACAATTAACAATGTATCATTCACAAGTGAACAGTAATGACAGATCTGATCGGAACACGCCATTCCTAGAATGTTTTTTGTTTCGTGTTTCAACTTCCACTTGTCCATTGAATGAATATAAATGAAACCAAAGGTAAAAATTTGCTACTATGAATTGATCTTTCCACAGTTATAATGATTTTGACTCCCTAAATAATTAAGTGCTAAAAGAATTACCAAATTTCTTTTCCACCCTTTTCGTCTTAGTCGTCATCATCGTCTTCGTCGTCGTCGTTGTCATCATCGTCTTCATCCTCATCGTCGTCATCTTCGTCATCATCTTCGTCATCTTCATCATCATCTTCGTCATCATCACTTTCTTCATCATCATCTGAATCATCGTCATAATCACTCCCTTCTTCTGAGTCATCATCATACTCATCATCTGATTTTTCATCATTGTCATTGTCAACGTCATCCTTACATTCGCCGGAATCACTGTTCTCAGAACCAGGCTTTTGCACTTTGTTTAGGTCAGCCAAAGGAAAACTGCAAGGCACAGTCAGTACATAAGCATTGGATTACTCTTTTAGTATTTATAAAAATCACAAGTGTGGTGATCAACCAAAAAATCTAAAACACAACAACTAAATCCATCCTTACCTTTGATCCATAGAACTAGCCACATCATCAGGTTTAGTAGACCCAGTCTGGAAAATCATTTTACAAGAAAATACATAAACATGATTGCACAATACATTAAAAGGCATATACAAATTCTTTCCAAGAAAAAGAGTAAACCATAAGAGAACACATAGAGGAGATTAGCAAGTAATCTTGAAAACAATGTACGATGCTCAAGAACCAAGTTAAAGTAGGTCAAAAATGGACGACATATAATGCGGATGATGTTTCAAAATGAGATTGTAAGGCCGGAATGCTCTAAGCATGTCTCATCATCGAGACACAAGCTAAAACCTACCTTTACAAATAAGTAACGAATAGAGTGACAAAAGTTAACCAAAAAACCTAAAGGTTTAAAACCATTCTCAAGTGTAGCTCAGTTGGCACAGATTTGTTGCAGCTCTCAGAAGTTGCGGGTTAGAGTGGACTTCGTTGAGTAATGTCCTCCACAATGTACACCTTGTTTAAACATTTAAAAAAACAGGTTTTCAAAGAGTTTGGCAGTTATTCCTCACATATGCCTCATTGATTGCAGATATAATACAAAATTTTGAACATGGATGATAATTTCTAAATTCCAATTGTCTGCTTAAGCTGATTGTTTTTCGAAGTAAACGAAAACTGCTGGCCAGGCCAAGTTAATTGACAATACCAGCAAAGCTGATATGATCTATGTTTCTCGAATTTGAGTGAGTTTCAGCTAGAGGTATGTATACAACATGGGTACATTCAATATTTTAATGTTTTTTCCTCATGAAAAGAAACATGAAAAATAAGTCTTAATCCAAACAAAAAGAGGGAAAAGTGTCAATTTTTAGATATTTATAATGAGATGCAAAACATCATATATGAGTCCATGAATATAATCCAAAAGAGAAAGTGGTCCATAGATTTTATTGAATATACAAGCAAAAGAAAGAGATGTTAATCAAAACCAATTATGCTTGCTGATTAAACTACACAAATCAATAGAAAAAAATGCATAAGACCCATTAATTAAGAAAGATGGGTATCATTAAATCAGGAAAAATAACAAAAAAGTGAGAAAATGTACCATAAATAAGAAGCAAAGAAGAGATTTTTGAAGACTTACGATCTCCATTGGGATTTTGGAATGCACTTCACTTCTCCGATTTACCAACAATTAGCAAAGGCTGAGAAAAGTGAAATCAAATAGTAAGTGGAAAAGTGGTTTTGAGGGTTTCAATCGGAAGATCAATGAGTATTGGGATGGAAGCGAGTGGGTAAGGGACTAGGGTTTTGACTTGTTTATATACACGTCTTCTCCATTTTCACTCTGCACCCTAACCACGTCAGCTTTCCTTCATAATTATTGATGTTTCCTTGTCAAAAACGTATCTAATTTTTTAATTAAATAATTATTTTCACTCTTATTTTTTTAAAAAAAATAATAATTTTGAATCCTATTCCTTTACAAGTAATTCAACACTATTATTTTAATTTTTATCAAAATTTTCAAGACGAAGATTATTGATTAATGAATAACTATTGTTGTTAACACAATATATTTACACAAATATATAATTATTTTTGTTATATATATAACTGTTAACACGTATATGTATATAGATACAATTTTTAAAAATATAAATTTGTTTATTTTATTAATCATGGCGATAACATACCTACAAAAGATATGAATTAACTATGATATCTAGTTTTTTGACAACTCATACTCATCTTTGTAAAACTTTTTGTTCTTTGTAAGATAAGCCTGCATAGTATAACCATGATAATAACAACATATTATTATTGAATTAGATGAATTAACAAAACATATGAACTATAATTTATTACTTGATGTCAAATTTAACATATATATTTATATATTTGCTTATTGAATAGGTATGGCTGAACATTTGATGTTAACCCAATAAGTTATATATGTAGCGTATATGGTTGAACTTGGAACATTTCTCTATATATTTGTTAACAGCAAACATTACATCACGTATTTATGCGTATCCATCATAAATGCTGAAGAAATATTTTATAAGGTAAAAATGCAACGGTCTAGTCTGGCTCTGCTCGTAATTCAGTGGATTGAATCATAGTAAACAAGCTTTAAATCCCTTCTCCGACTCCTCTGCATTCAAGTTCTTCCCTATGAACACAATCTTGTTTACTCTCGGTTCGTCCGGTCCCCATAGCCGGTCCGGTGAACCTTGGAATATGTCATGAACTCCCTGTTCATTTCCACAACATCAAAACAAAATTAATTCACCTCTCTCCTATCAACTCAACAAACCCTATTTTTTTACTTCAGTTTAACTTTCAACAAACCCTAATTTATTTTACTTCAGTTTAAATTGGCAATAGGATGACAGATATAGCAGCAGATGACAATAAGAAGACAACCAGACAACTGAAAACAACATTCTTTTCTCACCTGAAAGACGAACCTCTCATCCATACCCTCACCTGGGTCGTGAGTATGATCATGATCATGATGATGATGGTCTGCATGCAAAAGCGCAAGATGTTAGCTTCAGAATAAGTGGAAGAGTATAGCTTCGACTTGTTGATATGATATCTGTAAAATTAACAAGCATGCATAACCATATCCAAATTCCCTTGCCTACGAAGAACCCAAAAAATGAGTGCATAAATTAGTAACATAAGCCTAGAAACTAATGACAAACTATGAGCGGGGATGGCATTAGAGAGCTTGGTTTTTAAGGGCGCAAGGCGCACCGAGGCGCAAAAGATCCCTAGTGCCTAGGCGCAAGACGCAAGCGCGCGCCTTTGGTAAGCAAGGCGCACCATTTGTACTATATGATATAAATCAAACTAATACTTTGACAACACACAATTACACAAATACTTTGTAGGGCAAACATAACTACACAAACTTAAATTTCTTAGAGAGAATAACAATTATTTTAATATTTAAAATCATTTTATATTTATTTTTAAATGATATAAATTAATTTTATTATCAATTTAAAATCTTCATATAACTCTAAATTATTATAAAAAATAACTTTTATATTTAATAAAATTTACTAAATAAATGTTATTAAATTTAATATTTTACTATTTTAAAATTAATTATATATCTTATTAAATTAATTAATTAAAAGAACATAAAAATATTATATAATAACAATAAACTTTTCAATAAAAACATGTAAACAGTGAAAGAAGCTATGAGCTTGTTATAATAAATAATACTAGAGTGGGCTATAGATTTGGGCGATTTATAAATAATTTTATATGTGTTAGGGTTAGGGTTGGGAATGATAAAAGTGTAACAAATGAGAATTTTATGCCGCTCTCTCTTGTCCTGCCGTTCTTCTACTTTACCTGTTCTCATTGTCTATCTTCTTCTTCCCCCATTTAATCTGTTTTTTCCTATTTTCTTTAAAAAAAACTGAAAAGCGCAAAGGCGCTGCGCCCGGCGCCTAAAGCCCATAGGCGCGCGCCTCCGGCCGCCTCCCGTAAATCGCCTCGTCCCAACCCAGGTGGGCGCTTCCTTCATCGCCCGGCTGCACCTTGCGGGCGCGCATTTTAAAACCCAGTTAGGGAGATATGAGATCCCTTCCAAATGGAATTTGGGGTGTCATAACTCATACGGAATTCCGAACTATTTTCGTAGCTCGGAAAGCTAAAATATTAGGTTTTGTGAGCTCTAGTTCCTACGAGATAAAGCCTGGCACTATTGGTAAGCAATAGCACGAAAGAAGACAGAAATGAGAAAGTGCAACATATTGATGATAAGCTAATCGCATTTCTTTTTGAATCTAAAACTTGCCTATTTCTTTAAAATCCAAACTTCAGATTTTAAAATCCTTAACAATCTCGGCAAAAAAAAACCATACATTAACCAGTATACAGATAAATTACATGAAAGTCTTAATCTTCCTCGGATCCAGATAATAAATTTCAACATAAGGGTCAACAGCAACCCCATTCTTGATCACAATTTTCTTATTTAAAAAAGAAGAGAGAAAAAACCCAGAACCCTTTCATCTGTTCACATCTGGAACAAACAAGAGACAAATGTAGAGTATTCTTCAACAGGAAAACACAAATAGTTAGACATAGGGTTCACAGATAATGCATCATACATAGGGATGCCTGTCAAACTGTTTCCCAATAAGGTAAGGAAAAATAGGAAGCATTAGAGAAACATTTCTGAAAGTCTCAACCTGCCGTTCTTCCTTCCCTTTTTCAAATAAAAAGGAAAGAAAGGTAGAGATAAGAAGAAAAATGATGCAATGAATTAAAACATTGATTTTAGCATCCATAATGTAATGTAACAGTAAAATGGTTTCGAAAAGGCAATATTCAATGAAATAATATCTCAAAATGGAAAAGAAGCTCAGATGGCAGTTCTAAGGCTAAATCAAAGAGTGAGGAAATATGGTTCAAGGGGGAAACAGCAGTAAATTAATAACATTAGTTCCGAACAAACATATAAGAAAGAAGATGGAACTTTAGGAAACATAGGGTTATAAAAACCTCTAGTTTCTTTCTATTAATTCAAGAAAATGATAATAATAATTTTATGGCTGTAAATCGTTTACAGCTTATGTATACCAGGGATACTAATGGAGTTATAATCCTATCCCTAGATTTAAACCCTAAAGATAACTAGTAGCCCTATCCCTAGATTGAAACCCTAAGATATCTTATAATCTTAGCCATCCATAATGTCTCATAATCAATAAACATTACCGAAGCACAAAAATAATATAAAATAATTAAAGCTCCTATGTCAGGAGCAACACTTTGTGCTCAATAAAAATAGAACATGATTACGATAAAATGGAAAAACAACAATACTTGAATTATTTACTATAATCTTTGTACCGACAATGAAGCTACAAAATAAGAGCAGAAAACAACCTCTCAAAATCAAAGACTCCTATCCCAGAACATACTCCAAGTCAACTTTTCCAAACTCTGTGCGCTTGAGATGAGCCATACCATTAATGTTCTGCAAGCAGGCAATACCATCTTCATTCTTCAATTAGAACAATGTAAACTAAATAACACAACACATCCTAAGATGCAATAAAATTATTTAATAGAAATAGGCAGAAAACGCACCCTTATCCGCTTAACCAAGGACACAATTTCTGGCTCGCCAACAAGATCGGTCTATCAGAAGAACAGATAATCATATCAGCTAGCTATTAGAAAACCAAATTCAGTATAACACCTAAAGTCTTTGAACACATCCTCTTAAGAGTTCTATGAGCAAATCATAGTTTTTTTTTTTGGGGGGGGTGGGCTTTAATGAATCAAAGAATCAGATAAATGAATAAAGCTCTGTCTTTCGAAATGTTGTAGAAATTCAACATGGTTTCAAGTAAATAAGACATATATGGCAGGCTGTGGACGGAATATTAGGCAATGGCTCTGGGTCAAAATTCAAGATAATTAAATAAGTTCAATCATGTTCTGTTTTGATATCGAGCCTAGACTAATGTGGAACCGAGTGCATTTCACATAAAAAAATATGGTCATCGTAAGTACATTGTTTACAATTTTGCGGTCAGCATAGGCAATTTGCTCTACTGCCTCATTGACCACTCCCTTTGGTTTGACCTCATCCAGATGAAAGCCCACATGTTTGGCATAAACTAAAGTTACAACACCATCTAACTTGAACTCGTTGAAAACCTGATCTTCCGCATAAAATGTCTGGATGATTGGTGCAGGATTTGCCAATCCTGATAAGGTGAATATGGAATGTAAAAGAAAATATAACAACTCCTCACGATCAAACTAAGGGAAAATCTCAGATATACATCAATTCCAATAACCCAAACAGATAGAAATAAAGATATTCTCTTTTTAAAAAATTTCATAGGTCATTTGAAGAAAATTCCAACCTGTAGTCTCTATTACGATATGGTCAAATTTCCCTTTCTTCTTATTGACTAACTCTGCAATCATCCTCAAAATATCGCCCCTTACAGTACAGCAGCAGACAGCCATTGTTAAGCACGAGTATGTCCTCAGCCCCAGCAGATTTAGCAGCGACAAGAGAGCCATCGATATCCACTTCGCCAAACTGAAATGTTAAATGTGAAAAGATAAGAGTTAATAACTATAAATTACGCATTAATATATTCTACGTTTTTCCAAAATACTGACTATTGTGAACCATTTATACTGCAGAATCAACTCAATACCTCATTCTCTATAACTGCTATAAGCTTCCCATGATCTGCAGTCAAGATGTGATTGAGTAATGTTGTCTGTTCCACAACATAACACAAAGGTTGAAACACATAAATACGATCAAATCAATAACTTTAAAAGAGAAGCTGAGTTCCTATCA